TTAATTTCCAAAGATGTCTGTCTTCTTCAATTAGCACTAATAAATCAGGTCACTATACAGGATGTGGAAAAGGTAACCCATTTTTCCTAGCCCATCTTAATAAACGAATGAACAAAAAAAAGTATATGATACTAATCTCAAAAGACATTTASCAGTAAAATAGAATAGTCTAATTTAAGGTGGCCCTAGGCATGTACATACAATGCCAATCACCCTTTCCATTAACTATATAACCCATAAACTGCATAAAAAAAATATTGAGAGGAAGTAAGCTGTACCAAGGTAAGCACGTATTCTGGAAAGTTCAGCTGGAATATCTAAATGCAGCTTAATGAAAAAACTATTCAGCTGATATGTGGAAAATGGTCTGATCTGTAGAGACACTTTGAGCTTCTTCGCAGGTTTTCTTGTTTTTTTAAGAGAAATATTTATTAAAGAAGTACATGAGATATGTAGCACAATAGAAAGAGGTAGCCTTTCCTCTATGAACAAAGCCTTCCAAATCTCAAGCAAGAAGGAGGGTTCTTTTTAGTTTCTGTTAAAACCAGAACAACAATTACCTGTCTCATTCTGGTGCAGATCAAACACGGTATTTTAATCTAAGGCTAGACTAGTCAAGGATCTCGGTTCTTTAAATCTAAAACCACATCCAAATACTTCTCATTTTCCCCATTCATACCTAAATATGAACTTKCAACACAGTTTCAATATATGTGAGCTGTGCATCCCCAATAATTGACTGCCTCGTCACTCCCCATGGCTTTTTTTTTTGCTTCTTTCCTGCTCTGGGCATTACCTGGAACTCAAGCAAGCACCTAATGAATTGCTTCCCACTAGCCAGCAGTTTAGCCCATGCAGGATCCCCACTCAACCAAGTTAYGTGCCCCTTATCCTTAAAAAGCAATATCACCAACCTTAAAAATTAATCTACACCCTTAAGATAATCTTTATTACTATGTCCTCATACACACCTCACAAAGTTCAACAAGGGCAAGTGCAGGGTCCCGCACTTGGGGAGGAATAACTCCGGACACCAGTACAGCTTAGAGGTTGACTTGCYGGAGAGCAGCCCCGCAGAGAGGGACCTGGGCATCGTGGTGGATGACAAGTTGACCACGAGGCAGCAGTGTGCCCTGGTGGCCAACAAGGCCAACGGAATCCTGGGGTGCATTAAGAAGAGCGTCTCCAGCAGGTCGAGGGAGGTGATCGTCCCCCTCTACTCAGCCCTGGTGAGGCCACATCTGGAGACTGTGTCCAGTTCTGGGCTCCCCRGTACAARAGGGATGTGGAGCTGCTGSAGAGAGTCCAGCGCAGGGCTACSAGGATGATCAGGGGCCTGGAACATCTGCCCTATGAGCAAAGGCTGAGGGAGCTGGGCCTGTTCAGCCTGGAGAAGAGGAGGCTGAGGGGGGACCTGATCAGTGTCTATAGATACCTCAAGGGAGGCAGTGAGGAGGAGGGGGCGGCCTCTTTTCAGTGGTGGCCAGCAACAGGACTAGAGGAAACGGCCACAAACTGAAACACCAGAAGTTCCACAGGAACTTAAGAAAACATTTCTTAACAGTGAGAGTGACAGAGCCCTGGAACAGGCTGCCCAGAGAGGCTGTGGAGTCTCCTTCTTTGGAGATCTTCAAAACCCGCTTGGATGTAGCCCTGTGCCACACGCTCTGGGTGACCCTGCGTGAGCAGGGGGGTTGGACTAGATGACCTCTGAGGTCCCTTCCAACCTTAAGCATTCTATGATCCACCAATGTGGTCCATGACCTGCTTATTCACTGCTGTTGTCTCCCTCCTCTCATTCTCCTTTCTTATCATAGGAACCACAACCCCATTAAATGCTTATAATAATCCTTATCTTCTGTGACCTAGCTGGAGAAAGGGCTCATRTTCTATTCCAAAATCTACATTAGGGCTTCAGCTGTTGACAAATACATTAAAAAAATGAATTTATGGGAACAKTCCAAGCTATAATTTCCGCTAGATTCCTAGCCTCCAGTCATGCATTTAGCATTGGTGTGAACATAAATACACAAGCTTACTTTACTGCAGCTCTTACATATATCATTTCTCATACTAGGGTAAAAGTTATCAGACAATTTGATTATACGAGCACCAAACACCGGTGAAGAAATAGGCGTAGATGAGTATACTGTAAGCTATCCCTAGCAAATTCCTTGCTGGACAYCACTCTGAATTGCATGTATTGCACTCCAGTTCCACCAAAATGCACTTGAACCACCACTCTTCAAAGTGAGACCTTTGTCACTTAGATCAGGGTCACTTAGAGCCAATTCCCAGGACCATGTTAGAGGGATTTGAGGAGCTGGAAGGATCCTGACACCGCAGACTCCCTGGGCAGCCTGGAACAGCCCCTAGAGTAAAGAGGTCTTTTTTTCTTTCTTTCTCCCCCCACCTTTTTTTTTGCTCCTTCTTTCCTGATGCTTAAGCAAAACTTCTTGTATTTCAATTTGCGGCCACTGCCTCYTGTTCGATCACTGAACTCCCCCAAGAGGAGTTCTTTGTATTAGGCTATTTACAATGGCAACAAAGCTAACAGGTAACGAAGACCAGGTACAACAGAACAACAGATAATAAAGACCAGCAGTATTTCTGGATCTGCAGTTTTTGCAGCAAGTTTCCATGGTATTACACACAAGTCCTGCCTCCTCCATCTCAGACGTCAACAAATCAAATTCCACTTTGCACTTGCTCCTCTGATTTAGACATCATTCTCCTCCTTTCCCTTCCTATCTTACTACATTTATTCCAAGTTTCCACAAGTCGGCTGCTATTCACACCTGGACTCATCTGTAAGTGAATGCAGGTGGAWCCAAGCGTGAGCACAACTGAAGATGATTAGTGACTAATATCAGGCTTCTAATTTGCCCAGCAGATCACAGCTACACCCTCCAACTTGCTCATCTTTCCCCTAGACTTCAGTTTCTATTTTTTGCAGCAGGACTGGACCATATTTTCAGAAAATTAACCTGGTTTCAGCTCAACTCTACTTAGAGAGTAACCTACCATCTTCACTGCTTTCGCAAACCAAACGCCTGGAAAGCAGCTCCTCTCACCACTCATACTTAGCTCTGCTTTCTCAGACTCCAAAGCCAGCACAGGTCCAGCCCATCTCACCGCAAACACTCCAATCCCACTATTTATGTAACTAACCCCCAGSAGCAATAAAAACTCCAATCCCCAGCATTTTACTGTTCCCAGGACAGTGCCTCTTTGCCCCTAGGAAGCCATCGCTTACAGCTTCCCCCTTACCATCATTAGTCTACAGTGACTGACTTCTTCTACCTACTAAGCCCAAAGTCCTAAAACCATTATTSAAGAGCTGATATCTCAGCTCCCTTATTTGTCCTACCCAACTCACTTCCCTTTCTCACTTTCCCATACTTAGAGCTACTCAGTTTCCCTTTGGTTTTCCCCTGAAGTCCCAACCTTTGTGGTTATCACATGATAGGGAAAACCACACACCATTAAATRCATTAATCAACTTTCTGGAGAGAGGGAGTCTCCCTCTGGAGAGAGGGAGTCCTCTCTGGTGGACTCTCTCTCTCTCCAAACATCACCCTTTTTTGCATGCAAAATGGAAAAGGGACATGGTGATAACACATTATCAACCTACCCACCCTTCCCTCATTCACACCTCATCAGGTAAGAGTGATGTGCATCATCTGTTGTATCTGCCACAGTAAAACCACAGCAATATGGAGCACTTGGAAACAAAATATGGTTGGGGCTGGAAAAGACCTCTAAAGATATCTAGTCCAAGGCCCCTACCCTGGAGCCCGTCCGGGTGGCTTCCAAATACCTCCAAGGATAAAGAGTCCACAGCCTCTCCAGGGAACCTGTTCCAATGCTCAGTCACCCTCACAGCCAAGACTTTTGCTTATACTGCAAATTTGCTTATATTTGCTTACATTCACACAGAGCACCCTGTATTTCAGTCTGTGCCYATTGCCTCCTATCACCAGGCACCACGAGAAGGGCCTGGCTCTGTCCTCCCCACTCCCTCTCCAGACATTCACACTCTGAYGGGCTCCCCCTCACCTCAGTTTTCCCCTCTCCACGTTGAACAGCCCCAGGCTCTCACCGTTTCCTCACACGAGAGGCTCCAGTCTCTCCATCCACCCAGCCATCCCCTCCTAGAAGATCAGCTACCCGGTTCACCCAGCGTGATTTCCCTTCAAGGATCCTTGCTAGCTGCTCTGGGGCACCCTCTCATCCTTCACACACCTGGAAATCGACTCCAGATCAGTTGCTCCATCAGACCAAAACAGCCACAGGTGTCACTATTTCATTTCACTATTTTTTTTTTCTCCAAACACACATCCAACTAATGTGAGTAATAGTCAGGACGTTCCACAGCTCTGATCAGCTCCACCTGCCCAGCACCTTGGATGCAGCTGGGACAAATCCCTAACAAACCTGACAAAGAGAGTAGATAAAGGAAAAAAAAAATAAAATACCTACTTTGATTGAAGTGTTGCTTAATAATTGTAGTCCTTTGGTAGTCTGAAGCTTCCTCCTCACTCTTGAGCTCCTAARTTTCTCATAATTTGGAATCTAAGTTGCTAACAATTAATTAGCCCCTTGATTTTGCAGCGCTTTTGGCCACTATCTGGATATACAACAACAGCAAATTAAGTAACGCTTTCTCTGAACATCTGAGTGATATTAGTAGGCAAAGTGTAAAAAAAATCTAAATTTATGAGGCCAAAGATTTCCAGAGTCCACTCGTTTCTAGTAATTTGGGAAYGGTTGCTGGCGGAGCCTCGTCCCGGCCGCGCCGCCTCATGGCGGCCGACGCGCAGGTGTGAGGATTTGCCCCTTTAGAAAATGGCGCCCGCAAGAGGCGGGCTGAGGCGCACGAGGACGGCTTTCCCTTAACAAAAATGGCAGCCGAAGGAGGCGGGGAAGCCCTCCGCCGGCCTCTCTCCTGGGCACTTCCCCCAATCAGCGTCCGCCAACTCTCCCGTGGAGGCCGCAGAGCGGCCAATGGCAGCGGGCGGCGTGGAAGCTCGGCGGCGAGCGGGCCAATGGGGCGGCGGCGGCGGCGCGCGGGCGGGGGAAGCCGGCGAGGGGC